CTGCTGGCTGCGCGTCCAGGGCTAGCGCCCGCCGTTGGCGCGATGCCGTCCCGCCGCACACGCGCGTTGGCCGGGGTGCCTACTCCGCGTTCGCAGGCGCTCTGCCTGAGCCTTACGTTACGCAGCACGCACGCTGCCCGCCCCCTGGGCCCTGGCTTGGCTGGGTACGCCGCCTCAACGTCACCGCGTCGGCCCGCAAGAGGGGCATTTACGCAGCTCCTGTATTTTCCGACTTCCAGTCCCGATCTCGGATACCAACATTTTAGCGTGTTTTGTCTGCAGAGAGGACTCTGAAGAATTGGAGACCGTGTCCGAGTTCAGGACCGGAAATCCGAGAGCTCTGTACTACTCCTCCGGGCCTTTCGACACGATGCAGCGCTCCGATTTCGTTGTGCGGGCGCGACAAAAAAAAACCGATGCGACATTTATACGAATGTCACTGCATCGCTGTTTGATATTCGAAAGCTTTACTGTACAAATTTGATTTTGACGGCGTACAAACAACGTGTACGTTGCGTGCGCTGCATAGGAGCGGGCACAGCAGCAGCGCCCGCATCGAAGCGTCCACGCGAGCGCAGCACGAGGCTGTCTGTCTCCCCCCCGCCACCCCCATCCCACTTTGCGGTCCACCCCGCCCCTCCCTCCCCCTCTCCCTCTGACGCATACTTGCTTGTCCGCACACCAGTTTCCTCGCCACAAGCCTTTGATTTGTCCCGTGCGGTGCTGCGCGCTGTGGCGTGGCGTGTGGGACGGCGTGAAGGGGTTGGTGGTGGGTGAGTGGATGACCCTCCCACTCCCCTCCAGCTCCCCTCCCGCTCCCCTCCCCCGCACCTTGTATTCGAGAACCACAGCCCCCCAGCACGGCACCACATTACTGCCAGTGGAACGCTTGTTCATCATAAACAGAGATAATTGAAAAAAAAAAAAAAAAGACAAAAAAAATAATGCGATTTTTTATTTATTTATTTTTTGTAGCAATGAATTTTTGCCGAGAGTTCATTTGCTGAACCGCACATGTCCCCGTTGCTGTTCCAGATGATCAAGATGATGGTGACGGTGGTGCTCGTGTTCACCATCTGCTGGCTGCCGCTCAACACGCTACTCGTGACCTGGGACAACGACCAGAGCGTGGGAACGTGGTCGCTCATCCCCTACGTGTACCTGGCGTGCCACTGGCTGGCCATGTCGCACTGCTGCGCCAACCCGCTCATCTACTGCTGGATGAACTCGCGCTTCCGCCAAGGGTTCCGGCAGGCGCTGGGCCGCCTGTGCTGCGGCCGCTGCTCGGCGGGGCCCATGGGGCTGGGCCCCAACGGCACCATGTCCATGGCGCGCGGCAACACGCTCACGTCGTACGTGTCGGTGCGGAGGAACAAGTCGCAGGCGGCCATCCCGCTCGTGCGCACCGCGCTCACCAACGGCCACAACCAGGCGGCGCAGCAGCTGCAGCAGCAGCAGGACAACGGCAACGGCAACGGCAAGCTCATCAACGGCTACCG